TATAGTATTCCAACTATGTAATTAACAACCAAGACGGGCATCCAAGTGGTCGCCGCTGGCCCGTGGCTGCTTGTCGTGTAGATTTCGTGGCAGGCGCAGCTCATCGTGAAACCTGGAGCGCAGATTTCGTGGCAGGCACAGCACTTGGTGAACCTGAGGTGCAGATTTCGTGGCAGGCACAGCACTTGGTGAACCTGAGGTGCAGATTTCGTGGCAGGCGCAGCACTTGGTGAACCTGGAGTGCAGATTTCGCCGCAGGCACAGCGCTTGGCGAACCAGGAGTGCAGATATTTCGTGGCAGGCGCAGGACACAGAGCCTGCTGCAGGAGGACTGGGTGGACGCGTGGTCGCCGCTAGCCCGCGGCTGCCTGTCATGTAGATTTCGTGGCAGCCGCAACACTTGGTGAACCTGGAGTGCAGATTTCGTTGCAGGCCCAGCACTTGGTGAACCTGAGGTGCAGATTTCGTGGCAGGCGCAGCAGAGCCTGCAGGAGGGCGGGGTGGACGTCGCCGCTGGCCCGCGGCAGCCTGCCGTGTAGATTTCGTGGCAGGCACAGCGCTTGCAAGGGGCAGTTGGAGCGCAGTTTTTGTGGCAGGCGCAGTACACAGAGGTTGCAGGAGGACGGGGCGGACATGCGGTCGCTACTGGCCCGCGGCGGCCTGCCGTGTAGATTTCGTGTCTCGTGGCAGGCGCAGTACACAGAGGTTGCAGGAGGACCGGGCGGACACGTGGTCGCCGCTGGCCCGCGGCGGCCTGCCGTGTAGATTTCGTTGCAGGCACACAGTTGGCGTGCAGATTTTGTGGCAGGCGCAGTACACAGAGGTTCCAGGAGGACCGGGTGGACGCGTGGTCGCCGCTGGCCCGCGGCTGCTGGCCGTGCAGATTTCGTGGCAGGCGCAGCGCTTGGTGAGCCTCAAGTGCAGATTTCGTGGCAGGCGCAGTACACAGAGCCTGCAGGAGGACGGGGGCTGGCCCGCGGCGGCCTGCCGCGTAGATTTCGTTGCAGGCACAGCACTTGGGGCAGGTGGAGTGCCCTTGTCAATGCCTTACGCGGTGGACCCCATGGAGGCGATGCTGGCCTGCAAGAAGTCAATCTGGTGCATCGGGTGGACCCCATTGACCAGAAATAGAAAGGGGACACCCCTGCAGCGAAATCGAAAGGGACACACCACTCATCGCACACCGCTCATCTTACACCACTCAGCACACACCACTCATCACACACTACTCATCTTACACCACTCATCACACACCACTCATCACACACCACACTCATCTCACACCACTCATCACACATCCCTCATCTCATTAACTTTTATCGTCCAGTATCTTTCCGTCCTCTTTTCTTCTCAGTCTCTACTTCTCGTTGCTAGTTCTGACAAGCTTAACATGTGGGGTTATCCGGTCCTTTCATGATTTGAGCGAGTGCGGACAAAACAGATGATGATATCCATGACAATTCTGTCAAGGTGGGGCCAAGAGTGTTCTTGCAACTGACCGTGCAAGACAGTGGGAACCGGCGTGTCACTTGGTACTGGTTCTTTGCAGAGTTCAACTTGCTGCCAGGAACCTTGATTGTGCACAAAAATCTGCAAAGCTAAACGGCATTGAGTTGGATGTGGAGGCAATCGCACTGGAACATCAGCAATCACAAGTTGCAAGATCAAGATCTATAGGCGCGTTGATTGGTTTTTGCTTTTTGCCATGTCTAGGTTTTCGATGTGACTTCAGACTTACCGTCCCATTCTTAATGGCACGCATCAATGAGCAGATTCTATAAGTTGAGTGCTTCATAGGTGGATGGTGTTACTTCAACGCAAGAAATGTTGAGCATGGTGGAGTAGCACAGGCTTCCTTGCAAGAAGTTCAAGGCCTTCGACTTTGTGGTAGGTCACTCAGCTGGCAAAATACAGCGAACATGTTTTGACGGCACTTGTCGGTGTCCGCCAGGTCTTTTCTGATGTTTTGTATTGGCCAGCAGAGGCGGGAGATGGAGGCTTTTTAGCCAGGCAAGTTGGCAGCGTGTCCCATGTTTTCCGTCTCAACACCGCTCGCGCGACGGCTTTGGGATGGGCCGAGGGCGGGCGCCGCGCGTGAGATCTCCGAGATCTATGCTCGTCCGACTTCGCTGACCATTCGGCGAGGCTAAGGCCTTCGCTCGTCGGGCAGCTGAAGCGTACTGTGCTGGGTTTGAAGCCAAGCGCAGAGGTGGTGCATGACTGGCGAATGTTCACTAAGATGACTTGGAAAGTTTTCGACTTTCGACGTTTGATTTCAATGAATCAGATTGAATGAGGTCCACGGTGATTGTGGCAGATCCTGGGCGCCGACGGGAGGACTTCTTGGGCACCGTGGCAAACAAACAGCTTCTTTAATTCGAGGGCGGCTTTGCATGAAAATCTGAAGAAGAACGAAAAGAGCTGAGTTCTTGTCATGGCATGTCTTGGTATAGCCAGTGCCGAGGTACGTTGCAGATGGAACTGGAGTCACACATGGATGGGGCCTAAGCGGATCGGACTTGACCTGTTGAACATGTTGGTAAAAATGACAGAAGAAATAGATTGTAGAGCTTCGCAGACCGGCGATGCCGGTGCCGGTTGGGGGGGTGCGTGTTGGCTATCGTGTTCAGTGTCTGATCTTTTCGTTTTGTTTTTTGCGGTTGTCCGTTGCCTTTGTACTCCTTGCTTTGTTATTGAAGAGTTGTTGTTCCTTTCGAAGGCGCGCGCGCCCGCGCAAAAAGAGACCAGGCAAAATCCTTCAGGCTGGCGGCGGAGAGACGTTTTTTAATGACCAAAATGATAGAAAACACTGTAAATATCAATGTGTCTTGCTGCTCGAGGCTTCAAAAGTGCCCCAAAACCACGCAATTTGCGCAGTTTTTTGTGGTCTTACGCCAGGAAACCACGTAAATATCGACGGTTTTGGGCTATCGAGTCCTCATGTTTACGAGGTTTTCTCGAAAAACACGATATTTGCAGCTTTTCGCGCACCACACCCCCAAAAACGGCGATATTTACGCAGTTTTTGCAACGCTGCGACATGTTCTTTCTAGATCAAAACTTGTGAAAGCGCTATAATTTACAATGTTTTGCGCATTGGGCGCAAACCGAAAAAAGGCTTCAAATCTGTCCCTGGCCCAAATCCAGCACCTTTCCAGTTCCCAAAGTTTTTGCCCAACCTGCCTGATTTTTCGACGACTTTCGACATCACAGAATCACCAAAGAAAGGCCCACCAGGCTCAAGGATTTTACTACATTTCTCGTCTTCTCGTTTTTTGAATGGCGCCAAAACACCTCGAAATGCAGGCGAGAGCGCAATTTTGTAAGCTCGATTTCACAAAAAACCGTAAGCCGGGGGCTCGCCGGCATGGGGAGCACCCCCATAGCTAAAGCTAGAGGCGATCAGCTACACCATATGGCATCGCCGCAATGGGCTGACGCCCGCATGCCGCCGACCCCACTCTACAATGAAAGTTATAGCAGCTATGGCAACGATAAAGTATCATAAAATGCTTCGCGAGAAAACCACGTTAGACTGTCGATGTCAAAGGTGATTTGCAGAACAGAACTGCCAACGCCCTTGCACAGAGAGACATCAGGATACCCAAAGAGGGCTGTCAGCCTGGGCTGGCTTGGTGGCTCCATGGACCCACTGAACCAGTAACCTCAAGTGATTCAAGGACCCAGGCTCTAGAGATGCATTGTGATTTGCACTCAGCGCATCACTGTCTGCCACTTGTCACAGACAGCCTGAGACAACGACGAATATCTTAGCTACATACATAACTTCAATTGGTTTTAAGATGGGCAAATAAAATAAATGACTTGCTGCGCCCAGGCCGTTGTCTTAGACTTCACCGTCGTGATTCTCAATCAGTTGCTCAGTACATCCTTTTTGCACTTATCATGCAGCTGCAGTTGGACACTACTCAACAGATTGATTTAAGTTTAATGGTCTTGGCCTGAAGTGAGGACGCGCTTTGTCAGTGTTACTACTGGTCGGACTCTGAGGCAGGTCAGGGAGAGAGGAAGTGGGGAGGTCTCATGTACTTTGGCGTTGCAAGTCGTGGACCGTTTTCCCAACCATCTGTTTACCTGGACCTGCAGCAAGAATGGATATATTTTAATTTCTGGCCTGCACCTATAAATGACGGCGTTAGTCAGGGAAGCCACCCCGCCCACACTACTTTCAAGATTCAGTTCAGTTAGGTTTAAGACTTTAAGAGAAGCAACTGCCTGAAAAAGCCTGACCAGTTTCATTGGAAACATGCAACCTCATATAACTAAATATAATAACGCATGTGTTTCCAGCCTCGCAGGATTGGATGTGCTCGCATTCGTGTAGCCTCTATACGACAATGATCAAATGGGACCTCCCAGGACTTCCTGTTGATTGTCTTTGCTTGCAGGCCAAAAACGCATCGCGTGCTGCCTTCCACCCAGCATGTCTCAGCGCAAGTGGCAAAGTTTGACAAGACTTAGATTGAAGAGTGCTTTGGAAGATCTTTCTGTTTTATTAGATCATGAGTCTTGCGATTGTATGTCATTGGTTGCGCAGGCTGAACCTTCGATGGAGTTGCCGGCTTGGAAGGACTCGTCAGCAGAAATCTTGAGGACATGAACTTGTCCTGGAACCAATCATCTATGACTGACTGACTATTATGTATGTTTTAAGCTCAGTAAAAGTTCAGAAGAGCTTTGATTGATTGAAGCAAATCTCAATCCAAGTACTTCACAAACCTCAATCCAGAGAATAAGGCTGCAAGTCCGGAAACGTCCGGAAAGAAGACTATGACCGCAAGCCCGTCCAGGTTCACAAAGGTCTCTGGCGAGGGTATCGTTCATATGAAATCCAAACTGACTGGGACGCTAGTCCGGAAAAGTCCGGAAATAGGAATTGAGTCATAGGGCTGCCCAGAAAGGATTCGACCGGAAGCAAACCTTTAAGTCCGGAAATGTCCGGAAAGGCTTAAAAATAAGTCACTAGACATTGACAAGATCTGGAAGTCTAGAAATGTGTTGAAAGGGCCCAAGTAAGAGTCAGGTAAACCATGGATCAAAGGGTCTCTGGAAAAAGACATTGCAGGAGGTCACAACCAGCTTCAATAGGTCAAACCAATTGGTTCTGGTCTGGCAAGAGGTGTTGACATGTCACGTCAGTCATCAATGGCACCGGCCAACATACGCAAGGAGACAATGTTATGTCCGGAAAAGTCCGGAAGCTCAAAGGGTCTCAAAGGTACTATAGTTGCTTGCTGGCTACTCAAGTACTAAGTCATCATGTCCCTTTAGCCGGACCTCTCTGGGCTATACATTCATGAGTCATGGAATCAGTCTTTTCCGGACTTTTCCAGACTTTCAATCTCACATGTATTAATCATGCGTTCAACAGGCTTAGACCTTCCGTTGCACTATTCCGGACTTTGATTGACATTTGATCTTAATAAGTCTTGATACTTTTACTTTCAATGATTTTCCAAACTACTGACTTTCTCTTTAGGACAATGTCTTTCCGGACTTGGGCTTGCCCCCTTTGCCGCGCCATTAAATAATAAGTTGCTCCCGGAACGCAAACTGAGTTGGTGGCAGTAAGTAGACCAGACAGAATGACGAAATAACGCAGTTCAGATGTTTTTTGGACATGCCTTGCGACCCATGGAGTGTTTGAGCAACGAACCGAATCAGGCAGCCAACCAATAGCATGTTGCCCAGGAAGATGCCTTTGCCACAGAAACTCATCCAGACTGAATCCAACCTTTTCATTTCAATATTGTCATTTCGGATCATGTTTCTGGCTGAGTTAGTTCGACTGAGCTTTTGTCCGTTCAGGTCGACTTCAACCAGGGGCAGGGGCCCACATGTCATTTTTTACAGCTGTTCCTGCTCATGTGGCGTCACTCACAAGTTTGACAGCTGGCTGTTTCACTCAAGTGTTGTCATTGTCATCACTGTTGCCAATCGCAGTGTCTTTGTTTCTTCAATGTCAAACTTAGCGCTTAGTCGTTGTCAACTTTTCATAATCAACTCGACAGGTTCAGCATCACACGCCACCAATAGATTTCTTTGTCAGCTTTGCATCAACTTGCCGCGTGCATGGTTTTGTGCAAGACAAGACCTCCTATTTTGCAATGGCCTTGGTCAAATGTCAATGTTGTCAGATTGTCAGGTTGCGTAACTGACTTGTCACTCACTTGTAACAATCTTTGCAGATGCACCGTGTCATTCGCTTGATGATGACTTTGCCAGCAAGGGTCAGCGCTCCAACTCGATGTTCAAGACTTCACAAGTTGTCAAAACTGGGGCCCGGACTGTCAGGTGCCTACTACAGTCATGTGTCAAGTCAGCGCCGATGGTGTCATATGTCATATGTCAGATATATCCATTGTCAATGGCAGCTGAGACGCAAGGTCCAAAGGTGATTAGATACACCGGTGACTGCGCAGGGTTTGATTCAACAGCTTTGCAGTCAGCCAGATGCACTTTATGTCATACAGCCTTTCGAGTAAGCAATCAAGAATAATATGTCCTTTTAGGCCTTGGTGCTTCACAACTTGGGTGTGGCATTTGAGATCGAGGCGGTCTCAGAGATAGATGCAAGGGTCCAAGCTTTGATGAAGTGTACTCATGCTTATGTGATGAAGAGCCCCAAGAATCTCTTTGCCGACATGCTCGCTCGATCGACCATGGACCATCATCTCGGTATCAGCGCGAGCCCACGCATTGATTGTTCAATTGCTGGCTGTGGGCGAGGACTTTGCATTGGACATTCAAGATGTGCGCATGGGTCACTGTGAGCCCTGGAACCGCCGTGATTTGTCCAGGACTAAAAGGCAACACTGGCAGCTTGTTTGTGGAGAGCGCCCGCAAGGTCATCCAAGGCTCAGGGACACGGCAGGGACGCATGTACCGTTTCTGATCTGAATTCAACGCGTTGGGAGTTACTATTTAAACTTCGCGTGAGGCGTTCTTGGCAGAGAACGTGAAAGGCATTAATTAGCTTGAAGCCACATGTTCAAGCAGTTGATGATGCCTGCCACATCTTGCGGATGGCCGGGTATGTCATGCTCCCAGACTGGGTGGGCGCAAAGGCACATGCCAATGACTGCTTCACGTTGCCAGGCTGCACGAAGCAAAATCTTGCGCACATCGTTCCACGGCTTACCTGAGAGAGGTTCTTGGGGGCCTTTTTTCGCAAAAACAATTGGTTTTTGATAGGTCACGACGGCGGACTTCAAAAAACACTGTGTTTTACAGCGCGGAATGGACTAGTTCGTGCATGCGCCCACCCGGAGCCGGCAAGAGAAAAGTGAAAAAACTACGCGCGTTTACTTTTGGTTTGCGATTTTCATTTTTGAGAGGGGCCAGATTTTGGAATTTCGGAGCTGTTTGGGCGACGGTTTTCGCCGTTTTTGTTGGGCAGAAACATTGGCTTTTGCAGCGTTTTGTACATTGCCGAAGCTGAAGTTTTTTGCGCAAAAATGTTAAACCTCTCGCAAATAGCAGTATTATTGGCGACCATGTTGTTGAAAACGCCGCAAATTGCGGTGTTTTTTGACAGCCAGTTCAAAAACACTGTAAATAGCGGTGTTTTGGGCTACGGCAAGCTCAAAAACATCGTTATTTGCAGCGGTTTCTGCCTCACAGAGCATAAAAACACTGTAAAATACGGTACGTACTTGCCTTTTTGGCAACGTCAACCTCAAAAACCTCGCTATTCGCCGTTTTTGTTGGGCAACTGTTTCATGGCGGCGCAGGCGGACCTTGCCGCGGAGCGGCGTGAATACTCAATGCCTTCAGCCAATACTTGACTAGCTGCAAAAACTTTACTTTGTCACAATCCCTGCCAGGACAGAGCTCTTCAGCCAAAACTTACTAATTTCAAAAACTTTCACAGTGCTCCTGGCCTCGTCGGTTATCGTAAAGGAACCGTTTGTACTTGGTACATCTTGCATTGTGCTTTGGAAGTTGACTTGCCGCTCGACTCGACTCGTCAACTTGTCGTAAAAGAAAATGTTGAACTTCATTTTGTTTGCAAGTTCACTGCAACTTCACTCGTGGCTCGACTCGTGGACTTACTCGTGAAAACACTTTTGGTTCATTCATACTTTTACTCGGTGAGAATTTTTGTTCAAAATCGTTTCTAATCATTGTTTCTTTGTTGTGTCATTTGTAATCTTTCTTGAATCATTCTAATCATTTCAGATCTTATTTGTGACCGTTTATGTTTAAATATGATCAACTATGATCAAAACAATTTCAACAATGCAAAAAAAACAGATTGTTCAGCAAAGGGTGCCCATCTGGAGGCTCATCTCTGGTGTGCTGAATAGATGGTTGAAGTGGTTTTGAAGCATTTCAGGGTGGCAAAAGGCAATTTCGAAACGCAGATAGGGCCTAGGCCTAGGGTTTGAAGGCTTTCGAACCGTGCGGAAAGTCTGGGGTTTCCGGCCTGGCAAATGGCCTAGAAGCCAGAGAGAGCCTTCTTCAAGGTAAATGCTTGGGCGCGGAATGGACAAGTTGCACACCAAAGGTGCTCCCAGGCGCCGCCCTGGCCATGGCCGGGCCAGGGTCGGCGGATATCCAAAGCCTCAAAAAAACAAGCAAAAAAAGGAAATGAAAAAGGTACATGAAAAAGGAGTCCCTCCTTTAAAGGGCGATTACCATGTTTCTTCTCTTTGTTCTTTTTGATGAATTTTCCGCCAAGGACCCAGAGTCAGTTCCGAGGATACTGCCGCAGCCAACGAAATTTCCAGATCATGTCGGCGCGTCAGTTCGTGGACCGAATCGATGGGCAGCCTTGTGCCTGACAGACCCCAAGAGTATCTAAGGCAATCTAAGGCTGGCAAGAGTGTCATGGGACTTAAAACTCCAATACAACTTGAGCCGATTTGGATAGCGCTGTTGCTTGATTAGGTTTGGCTGTAGAATGTTTTAGATTTGTTTGGTTGCTTGTTGGTTTTGCTGCAGAACAGGAGGGTGATGGACGCCATTTCATTTTCACAGATTCCAAATGAAGAAAGGTGGCATCCCAGACTGAGATACAGATCAAGAAATGAATTGGCACAGCGGGCTGGGAGTGATGTGTAAAGATATGAGGTCGGACAGAGCATTGACCAGTGCAGAAAGGTGGCAAGGGGTTGACCGGTAAAAGCAGTTCAGGCGAGACTACGCAAGTGTGGGAGACAAAAAGTAAAGATTCGGTGAGGAGGCTTGAGGAGGAAAACAGGGAAACAGGGAGAGACATGTAAGTGGCAAATTAGCAGCAACCCTGCTAGGCGGAGCATCACCGAATTGGGAAGACCACCAAGAAGTGGACCGAATACACGTGGGACATGTGGCGCCCAAGTGGGGAGACTGGGAGACAAAAAGGAAGACAAATCTCGAGTAAGCATGGGCAGACAACGCCGACAGGCCGGAGGCCATCCCATCGCTAGTAGGTTGGTGGCCATCGCTAGTAGGTTGGTGGCCGCCGCTAGAAGGTTTCAGGCCATTGCTATGGGGTTGGAGGCCATCGCTAGTAGGTTGGAGGCCATCACTATTAGGTTGAAGGCCATTTCTATTAGGTTGGAGGCCATTCCATCGCTAGTAGGTTGGAGGCCATCGCTATTAGGTTGAAGGCCATTTCTATTAGGTTGGAGGCCATTCCATCGCTAGTAGGTTGAAGGCATTTGCTATTGAAGGCGAGGAAAAAAAGAGATCGCAGAAAAGTTGATCCAGACTGAGGAATATGTATCGGATTGCTCCACAATTGCTGCATGACCTTGTGCATTGATGAAGGGAGTTTGTATGGTTCATGTCATGCCACGTGAGCTGCTCGCGTGTAGTTGGATGTTTTGCTGGCCAACAATGACATTGGTAAAAGTGCCATAAATATGTTTGTTCCTCGCATTTATATGTCCACCTCGTCGTGCTGTGCGCATTGTACTCGTACTGCACACGTCGTGTTTACTCTTGCCATCTCTTGCCTTGCCTGTGTATTTAAATAGTTCCCTACTAGAATGCAATGTTTATGCCTGAAAAGTTAGAGCTATTTGTGTTTTTAAAGCTATCCTGGCAAAATGTGCTGTTCAATACTCTCGATGGAACATAATGTTGTTTGATGCCATTTTGAAAAGACTGAATGTTCAGAATGCACGGGCGGCCGCTGCAAGGTCTTTGATTGGGTTTCAAAGGAGGCCAGGCATGAGCTCGAAGTGGACTCTTCCAGCACAACAGAGTGGTGAACAAATGCACAGAAGTTGCTTCTGCAGCAGGTCCAAACAGCATCTTCTCTCTTTTGCCAGGACATTTGCCCCGAAATGTATTGAATCAGTACTGAAACCATGTCGACGTCAATTGCATTGAGGAACCATTCATTTTGACTTTGAGACCAACAACATCTGATGCTTCTTGGCTGATAAAGAGATACTTCTCGCAAAAATACCTGTTGCCATGTTTTATTGCGGCATGTGAAGGTGATGAAAGGTGGCTTCGAAATTGTGGACTGAGCGCAGAGCAAAAATAAGAGGAATGTCCGAGGGAATTTTGGATCTTGGCTTCAGAACTTATGCTACCAGTAGCAAGGGCATCGCTACTAGGAGCAAGGATGCTACTCCTTACTACTAGTAGCAAGAAGCTACTAGTAGCTAGAATCGAGAAGCTTCCTTGGGATCGTTTCACTTGGAATCGTTTCACCTGTAGTATACAACAAGAAGCTATTAGTTGCGTTCGAGAGGGAACAATTGAAGGGAGATACTGTAGGTCGTCCAAATGTGGCAGGGAACGATTGCGTGCTGAAGCTGCATACTCTGAGCCCAACGAGGTGCAAACACCAAATGAAACAATCAAAATTGTGTGGCAGCCACTTGCAGTCACTGCTTCAAGTCTTTAAAGATGTACTTGAAAGGTCACCAGGCCACGAAAGATATCCATGCGGATACATTTACATGTTTCTTTTTATCGTATCCGTATCCTGGTTTGCGTTTGATGGAATTGTTCGACTGCCATTGCAGATAGATGGTTGCTCGACGACGCTTAGCCCACTCAATCCATCACAAGGACTACAAGAAGCTGGTGTCCAAAGTGAAGCTACCCGAGAACAGCAAGGTCAAAGACAAGGCAAAGAACCACATACAAACGTGCAGCTTGTTTAACTGTGTGGTTTGAAGGTTTTGATAAAGCCTGTTGCTCGGGGGGTTGCTTTGCAGTTCAAGAAGACAATGGCCAAAGAGCTCACCTTGCTGAAGTTCCAAGCAGACAAAGAGGCCAGACTCGAAGGGACTGCAAAAGCAGAACCATTCAGACAAGTTGAAGAGAAGAGAACGAAAAGACAGGCTGCTCGGCAAGAAGAGATAAATCCAGAGCTGCTGAAGGAAGGTCCTACAATGAAGGACATGGTCACAGCATGAAAGACCATTTGAGAGAATGAAACGTATGCAGAAGGAGAGGAAACAAGAAGGTGTTTGGCCCTCTTCAATAAGGCCCCGTTAAAGGGACCTTATTAAAGCGGCCCAGCCAAAACACCTTTTGGCTCTTTCGTTCCTTCTTTCAATGTCTCCGAACAGTCTGGCAGCGATTCTCTTTATACTCAAGCGATGAACCCAGGAGTTGTTCGACGAGAGCAGGTGAAGCCGGAGAATTGTCCATGTCATCATTTCTGGTTTCCGGCCAAAGACCAGCTGGATGGCTTTAGACCAAAACAAGAAGCAAGTCCAACACAGAGACAATGGCTCCATTGGACTCATCATGTGGCATCATGTAGCCTGGATCCGATTTGGTTTGAGTCATTGAAATCCCGCATCCTGCCGTCTCAAGACTGATTTTGAGCTAATCGACCGCGCGCCCAATCGGCCTGACTTGTGAGGAAAATATCACGAAACAACCAAAGTTGATCAAAATTGCTGTTACCTCGAGTTGGCCTTCATCCACTTGCTAGAGACCGCGCTGTTTTGCGTTTGGAGTCGCTCAAAGAAGAACTGCGTCACAACTCTGGAGCTTGGGTTTGGGGGGATTGAGGCAAGCTGAGACAAGATTGAGATCGCTAGAAGAGATTTGACAGAACATGTTGTTCGAACGTTATTTTGTTTTGCCGGCTTTGCCCTCCTACTACTTAATTGATTAATTAAGTAGGCACCTAGGCACCTGCTGAATTAAGTAAGGCAGAAGTAAGGTACTAGCTAAGACGCACTAATGATTTGGTTCCTAGATGATTCAGCCTTTACTTTCACAGCCTTTACTCTTAGTTTGCTTGACTCTGAGAGAGTCACCGGAACCTATATAAATCAATATCAGCTTGGAGAGTCAAGTCCATACAGTCGCACGGAAGCTGACAGATTCAACAAATCCTCAAAATATATTCTGGGAAGGAGCTGGTGCAATGCCGCTGCAGAGCTCGCATGTCTTTGCCAGCCCTTGTCCGCAGTTGGTGGTGAAAAGCACAAGATGTTGGGATCAATCGGAGAGGATCAGACCTTTGCCAAAATACGTCACTTAAGTTTCCCAAACAAATCTAGGAACGAAATGAATAGTACGAGCGCTTCTTCAAGGAAGCTCTAAAGGCGGCGGGGGGGAACTTCCTTGAAGAGACCTGCGTCCATATGTACCCAGCTTCTACTAGCTACCTCCGGCCTTCCCCCCTTCCCGCAACAAAAGGCAGATTTCTAGGAGATCAAGGAGACCAAAATGTTGCGTCTCTGAGGTCATATCGGCCACACTGGCAAGACGACTCTGGCATATCAGATGCTTGCAGCCCAAAGATGTTGGTTGTTGGCTGTCGGCGATTCGGAGGAACAAAGCAAGTTTGAGATTGGCCGCAATGCCGCATTGTTTGCACATCCTCCACAGTATGTATGCACAAGCCCACCCACACGCTTTAACCAGGGTTGTTTTGGATGTTCGTCAGCTCACCATAGGATAGGGAGAATTGATGAGAATTGCATAAGGTGAGTGTCGCATCATGCAAATTGGAGAAGTACGGTAGGGGGTATGCGGTAGGGCGGTGTTCGATGTTAGAAGCCTCAGTGACACAAGTCATATCGAAAGCCCTCGAAAGCCTATTTTGGATCACTTTTCAGGTTACAGATTTGTGTTTGGATTATATATATAAGCTATTCTGAGGCCTATGGCCTATGGTATATGTTCAGCCTTTGCTGGGCGAATTTAGATCTGGCATTGGGTGGTGCTGGTTTGGACCCTTTCGCGATTTTGAAGCCATTGTTGGTTCTTGCAGCTGCTGACTGCCATCTATCAGAGGTGGTAAGAGGTGATAATGGTCATAAATGATCTCCGTGATGCGTCCTCGTACCGCGTGATGCATACCACAAAAGTGGCAGTGCTGCAGTGCGCTCTGCCGCCACTGTTTAAGGTCTACGTTCTTTGCTCAGAAGCATCCTGATTTGACCGTCGGGACCTGGGATGGCTAGAACCATGTTGACTCATTGTGACTTTATGATGAGAAAAGAAAATAGAAAAGGAAAAAGGAACAAGAAAAGGTCCATAAATTAGACAGTTCTTAAGAAGAAAAGAAATGAACACAACTCTAAACTCAAGAGCACTGCTAGAAAGGCCATTGTTATTGACACCACTACTGTTGTTGGCAGAAGAAATCCACCGCCTTGGAGAGAATAGAAACGCTATTACTTCTGGCGCTTGTGTGTTTTAGGTCTTGATCATGGACCTTGCCGAAGAGGGAGCACATTGCTTGGAAACAAACAGCTGAAATTGAAACAGGATCACCACTAGTAACAAGACGCTACTAGTAGCGATGCACTGGTCAATAGTATAGAATGCCCTTGTTACTAGTAGGTATACAATTGGATGATGTTGCATGTCGTTTTGCCTGGAGTTTTACATACAATCCGGCGTGGCAATACTCTCATGCTTGTTTGGAAGATCTACATCTAATGTTGGATCCTGATTAGCAAAGGGATCCTCTACAATACTAAATGTTTCAAAAATAATTCTGACCCCCCATGTTTGTTTTAAGCGTCCTCTATTATGTTGTTTGTTGATCCGATTTTTCATTATCTGAACAAATGTTTGGGGTTGTTGAATTCTTCTGAGTACTGTGAATACTACTAAGCCAATGACTGGCTTGCTGAGAGCATTGGTAATTGTAGGTTTCTCTAGTTCTTCTTCAAAACTGACAGCTTCCCAAAGCCATCAATTCTCTTAACCCATCCTTTATGTAAAGGTTGCTCCTAAACAAATATTCAAGGTAGTAGACCAGAAAGGGCCCCAGATACGCAAGTTGTATTGAAACAAAAAAATCATGTGCTTTAAGGGTCCTCAATTGTGCAAAGTTGTTTCCTTCCTCAAGAAAGTTACAACATGATCTTATATAACACATTATAATACTACTAAGTCGATGGCTGGCTTGCTGAGAGTATTGGTAATTGTAGGTTTCTCAAGTCCTTCTTTAAAGCCGCAGAGAACCTGAGAACCTTCTTTGTACTCTTCTTAGTAGTATAAAAGCATTGCTGATAATATCTAGAAAGAACCTGAGAAAGGAACATGAATACTACAATCAATTACAGAAGGAATCCTGCCAGGAAACCAGATTTGTTTTGGCGCTAATTTATTGTAGAGGACTTCCCATTGAATGAGGAGGAGGGGGCTGCCGTTGGCTGCGATGTTTAGAAAAATAGCGAAGAGGATCGAAGCATGGAAGAAGTATATTTTTTAGACCAGTGACTATGTAGGTTGTATATGATAAATGTATATGCATGTGTGGGTTGGTTTCTTCTTCAAGGTTGTTATCCGTTCAGTCCATTCAGAGGATCTCACCAAGAGATTGCTGGGTGGAGTTGATGCAGCTGCAGGGAAGGCCGATGACAATCAGTCTGTCAGAATAGCAGGGTTCTAGATTCTCAAAGAACAGTGGATGGGTTGCTGAAAAACCATTGTCCTTTTAACGACTCAATGAGAAGAGAGGAAAGAAGGAGCCGAGGAACCCCTTCCACATGCTTCCTGGTTCTTGTTCCCTTCTTTGCTCCAGGTTGAGTCTTTGTGAGGCTCTTGATGCTCAGAAATATTTGCTGACAAAATGGCTGATTGTTTAGCGTGTTCCTACCAGATGTTCGAGCTCGATGCCCAAGGTTCGGCGGTGTTTTTCGACTCTTGCAAGCTGCGGCAACTCGGCACTTTCCGAAAGCTCTTGTCACAAAGTCCAGCTGAGAGAACGTTCCAAGGAGAAGAGGCCCTCCGGGCTCACCAGTTGGTTATGGTCTTCCAAGTTCGATGTTCCTTGGAAGAAGTGTTAGGTTCACTTTTGTGATTTACGTTTGATTTTTTTTGTCACTTGGACGCCCGTTGGAGCAGTTGCTGTGATGGTGCCCCTCGAGTCACCTTGAAATCGTTAATGCAGGACAAACTAACAACATGTCAACTGGTCCTAAAGCCCAATGCCATGAAGCTAAGGTCATGGAACATGCTGTCAAGCTGAAAGAGCATAACCCCGCGGTAGCTTATCTCGGACTTCGATCAAGATTTACTATCAATCGAATGATCAAGTCATTCAACATTTGCAGTGTTTATACAATTGCTTTACACGTTTGATCCTGTGCATTTCAGTTCTTTTCAACCAAGTTGCCGGAGAATTTGTACTTGATCTCAAGTGGTGCTTGGTATTCGCCTCAGGATGCCAGACCATACTGCAGCTTGTGTCGCGTTGCAGTGCCTTGCAACTCAGGCCTCGGACAGAAGCACCGATGGATGATGATGCAGGGCCTCCCATATCGAAGTTAACAAAGGGAGTAGCAAGCCAGAAGGGAAAGACGGTGCTTCTCTCTAATGGCTTGGTTGAACAGCTGCTCAAGCTTGAACGCAAGCTTGAGCAGCTGTTCAAGGCTTTTTTTTACGTAGACCCAAGGTCAGAAAGCAAGTGGTTGCCAGAATACGAGAGTCTCTTGATCAGTGCGCCCACTGGATGGCTGCTGTGCCAGGGTTGTTATTGGCCCGGGGATTTGTTTGACATTTATTGTTTCACTTTGAAAGGCACTCGTTCATGTTGCTATTCGGTGCTATGCCCATGTCACTGTCCTCAGCATTTTTTGGCATAGTTTTGACCTAGAACCACAGAGCCTTGGATCCTTGCTGTCATGGCAGTGTTCATCGCAGCTGTCCTGGTATTGTCACAATTGCGACGCTTGTTTCAATGAAGTTTGTAGATGTTTGTAGCGGAGTAGAATGCACATTGGCGCATTGCTTGTGCATGCGTGAAAACTCTTAGTCAATCAGGCGAGATGCCACTCGTGCCCAGCTTGCCAGGAAGCGTGCAGGCTACAATTCGGAATTTGCCTGACCGCATTGCTGTGGGTGAGTGCATCAATGGTAGCTCTGGAGATGTCTCGCTGTACCCCTTGAGGATTCAAGTCGGCCTTTCAGTTCAATTGCAGTCAGGGAAGGAGCTAGATCAAGGTTTTGGGCTGCATACAGCTCCAATGAGTTCCAAAAATACAGAAATACATGGTACATCAAGATGAAATATAGTGTATTATATATACAATCGTTCAATGTGCTCAATTGCAATCAATTTTGCCGAGAGGGAGGCCTCTTTTGACTAAGGTGAGTTTCCAGCACCGGCTGTGGCATCCGCGGAGTCAGATGTGCAATCGGCAGCTTTGATCTCGATTGCATATGGAAGGAACTTCAAGGTGCCACCATCTTCAGTAACACTGCAGCTTTCGTTGTGAACACTGGTGCTTTCTGACTTTTGAGCCATGTTCATTTCAGCAGCTACTCGACTGAGTCTCAAAAGAATTAGCGCTGGGCGAGAAGCGGATGTTTTGCAGGTGCTCACGGAGAAGCTTTCACAGGAGCAGTATGTGCTAACCCAGTGCGGGACGACTCCACCCTCCACGGCCGAGATCGAAGATTTGGCACCCAACACGTCTGCCTACCAGCGAAAACACTTCAGCATCCCATTGCAGAATCTCGCAGAAAACTGGGATTGGTGTTACAATTTAGGATTTAGCAGGGTTTTCACGTGTGTTGTACGTTTTGCCAAGCCTCTCCAAGGCGAGTTGCCGCGACATCCACGACGAGTTTGGCATTCTTTCGCCGTCTCCAGATCCAGGATCGAGTGGCCTACGCGGATCCCTTCGCCTCCGGGCCCTGCTGGCAAAAGGCAGGGTGCAGGGCCTACAAAGCAGATGTCAGCCACTTCCGTGCCTGTCATTTTTCATGTTGAATGCTTGAAAAAGGTTGGGTTAACTAGTGAGTAGTCACTCACTCTGGTTTGGGACAGGATCCTAAACTAACCTTTGTGCGTGCAAGTTTAATTGATCTTAATTAGAACAGCCAGGAAAGTCTAGCCAGACTGAACTTGGAAGCGTTGCTTTTGCGGGGTCGACCATCATGTTGGCTTTCCTTGAAAGGCTTTGTCATGCGGAAGTCAGCTGGAGTCTGCATGGGGGAATGCAACAATACGGGAGAGGCAATTGGAGAGCTTGGATGCCGTGTTCATGGATTGCGGTGCTGATTGCGCACAAGTGCGCTCTCGAGGCAATGCAGTGCACTTCCCAGCAACCAAAGACAATGGCAATCTTCACGCTGCAGAATACATCAAGTTTGCGGCTGCTTTCTTCAACTTGGAAGAAACTGCAATGCAGATCTTTGACTCAACTGTCACCACCTACACTAGCTTCACAAGTAGCATGACTTCGCCTCCTGTGGTGGCCTGGGTGCAATGGAACGGGTATTACGACCGCTTCGAACTGAGCCAGGCAAGCTACAAGCTTCAGCTGGTTCGTGCAGCTGGTGGAAAAAATGTCAATGCGACACAAGTGGCTGAACAGATCGGCACATTGATGGCAATGGAAGACGTTGTCGCTGGCAATCCTCAAGCTGGAAAAACATATTACATACTTGCAGGCACCCAGCAAACATGGCGAGTAATTTTCTGAACCTGAAACACATACTCCACGTTGCCGTGCAAATACGAACCAATTAGCGCAAAACCGAGTTGGTTCTACATGCAATTGCAGGCGAGGACAAGTCAGCTGCCGCCAATGCGTTGGTGAGCGCTTTGCAGGACGTTGACATTGTTGCCACTGGTCTTGAAGCATTCTGTACCACTAGTCACTACTTTGCACAGGCACTTTATCACCAATGCATGACATGCTTTGACTCAGGTTGATGAGACCTATGCTCCGTATCCTCAGGCCTACAGCTTTGCTACCTTCCTGTCCACCTTCGGTTTGACAGAATCAAGTCTTTGCCTTAGCTCGGCCAGAGAAGACTGTGTAAAACAACGCTCCTAAATCTTCAGTTCGACTGATGTTTGTTTTTTGTTCAATCTGGAAGTTCCGTAGCGCTGAGGTACACAGAAGTTTGTGAGCCAAAAATACGTGTTGCGTGTCGATGGCACTTTGAGCGAGAGTGACGGGCTGGATTGGTTCGAGTCTCGTGTGGCATATCCGGACTGGGCAGCGGAAGGCTCCCGACCGCCGGTTTCATTTTTTCCGACCTGTCAGGTGAGGGTTGTTAGATTTTGTGTCAGCTGCCGTGCTCCTCCTCCTCCTGCTCCTCCTCCTCCTCAACCGCGAGTGTCGGATGGCAGTGTTCTCCGCCAGACCTCAACCGCCAGCTCCGGACTGCAGTGTTCCCCGCCGGACCTCAACCGCCAGCTCCAGACAGCAGTGTTCCCCACTGGACCTCAACCGCAAGTGCAGGATGGCAGTGTTCCCCGCCGGACCTCAACCGCCAGCTCCGGACGGCAGCGTTCCCCGCCGGACATCAACCGCCGGCTCCGGATGGCAGCGTTCCCCGCCGGACCTCAACCGCGAGTTCTGCTCCGAGTGTTCCCCGCCGGATCCCAACCGCGAGTCAAAAGATATGTCAGAAGATATGCCAGATAGAACGTCAGAAAGAATGTCAAAAGATAACCGAAAGAATGTCAGAAGGTATGCTAGAAAGAATGTCAGAAGATATGCCAAACAGATGTCAGAAGATATGCCAGACAGCATGTCAGAAGAGATGCAAGAAAAATAGTGTCAGAGGAAACGCCGGAAATAATGCCAGAAAGAATGTCAGATGAAAGAGTGTCGGAAGATATGCCAGATAGAAGGTCAGAAGATATGCCAGAAAGCGTGTCAGAAGAGATTCCAAAAAGAATGTCAGAAGAGATGCCGGAAACAAGTCAGAAAGAATGTCAAATGAAAGAATGTCAGAAGTTACGCCAGAAAAATGTCAGAAGATACGCCAGAAAGAATGCCGACATAGTTTTTCAATACACACCAGTAAATTTGTCAGATTGAAAAGGCATGGTGGGGATCACTTGAAATTTTTTCACGGGGGGATAGGCGAGAGGTAGAGGTAGAGGTAGCTAGGCAGCTAGTAGAAGAGGTAGCTAGCACCCACAAGTAGCCTCTAGTATGGACGTGGGATACCTCACGCTAATGATTTGGCTCCTAGCCTAGCTTTTTAGGGAAACTTAACTAATAGCCGCGTCGGTTGCGATTTGAGCAACAATGGCTGTGGCTTGGAAAGTTTTGCAAAATGCAGGCTTGGCGCGGTACATCCGCGGAGACGCCTCTCAACGACGTAAGTATTTCCGGAACATCGCTGCAAACGAAGAACCTGAAGTCCTCACAGCTGCCATGTGCGCTGCAGATTTGCCAAGCTGCAACGAATCCAGCTTTGCCACTGGGTGGAACTAGTTGATTCAGCCAACGGCATGAAAGCCGTACATATAGGCACGCGCGCGTATTACCAGTGCGGGCATGATAGCATGCGCGTTGGGACCAACATCATCACCGTCCACTACATGTTGTCATTTTCATTGGAAAATATAGCATTCTTTGACTATTCACATGGCAACACCGTACGTTCTTCTACAACATACTTCTCAGTTTTCTCTTATATTTATTCCTTTGGCAATAATTTCGGTTGTTTGGTGCATACGCACAGGTTTGTGGGGGGGGTGGGGGTGACACGCAGTGCAGTGCAGTGGAGTTCCCTTGGAAAGAGCACTGTTTCGAGAGGGGTCCAACGGACAACGCTCGGAAAGCAAGTCAAGTGCAACGACGCGAGCGAAGGCAAGCGGTTTTCCAGGTTTGAGCCAGATGTGTCAGTCATGTACATATAGGAGAGGTGAGACCACACAGAAGAGGTTAGTAGTCATGAAAAGCAAACACAGGCGGGGTGGGGGGGGTGATAACATACGTGTGTATGTAGATAACATGGCACGCCGTATGCATCCGTTGTCGCTTCTTTGTTATGTGTCGTTCGTACAAAATCCCCACCCCCTATCCCTACAAAATTGGGGGGACCTGCGAAATTGCAAGTTACAATTTCTGCTTTTTGTGGGGGGGAAGGGGGGTCAAAGAATTGTAACTTGCAATTGCGCAGGTCCCCCTTGGGACAATGGGTGGGGGCTGAAGCCGTCGGAAGGGGGGGACACATGGGCCACAACAATTCGTACATTTACGTAAAACACCTGTAGGAAATCCATCTCAGCGCCACCATAAACTTGTAACTTACATGTATTTTCTTTTTTTCCTTGGCCGGCTGCATTGTAACCCCCAGAAATGAACACCGGAACCTCCGCTCTGGAACCCCCTCCGGAACCTTCTCCATGCAAAACCTCCTCCGGAACCTGCTTGGAACACCTGCTCCGAAGCTTGCTCCGAAGTCTATACTATGGCAGAAGACCCCAAAGCTTCGCTGTCGGGGAAAAACACACCTGACAAAATGCAGCTTACATTTTGGGACATCTCTGTTCTTGGTGAAGATTACTTGCGCTGTGACTTGCGAAGGGCATGTCAACGGTTGCTGACAAATCTTCCGTCCACACACCAAATTAAATCATTCTCGTTCCAACATAGAGATCGCGGCGGAAGACCTTGTATAATCCAAGACTCAAAGATAGAAGAAATTCCCGAATATTCAGAATTTCCATATTCTATTTGAAA